ACAGCACAGAACTAAACTGTGGCACAAAAGTGAGATCTGCTACCACATCGCTGTCTTTGAAGGACTTGTCAACAAAACAATCTCTCCTGGCAGTTTATAATTAAGGTAAGAAAGGGGCTGCTGTAGGACATGATTGGCAAGGGTCAACTCATTGTAAAAGTATTCTTCCAGGATAGTCTGCTTTGCTGCTAAGCCTGATGTGGTTTATGAGACCTCTATAAAGATTAAGTTGTGGTATTCTTAGATATTCAGCAGGATTCTGTAATGCTAGCCCCCTTTACTTAACAACAACAACATTGTTAAAGACAAAAGAAAAGAAAAGAAAACAAAAAAGTTGAATTCCAGAGTAATCAATGAAATGGTTTCATGAAAACAGCTACACATTTCTAGCCTATGTCCTATTTTGTTTGATGGTAGATTCCTTATTTTAGAAGTAGTCCTGACATAGCCAGTTTCAATTTCTCCACAACCCTTACACCTTTTGTGTTGTATTGAGTTTATTCTACCTATGTTGTATTCTACTCTTCCGCCACTACAAATGTAAAAAACTCAATTCAACTGTTGTTGCCAGACTTGACCTCTCTGATGTTGTTGAGTGCTGTTAAATCAGTTCCAACTCATAGTCAACCTGTATAGAGTTATCGAGGAGCAGCTGCTGGGTTTGAAACGCTAACCTTGTGGTTAGCAGTTCAGAGCTATCCTACCACGCTACAGCAGCAGTCCTCTGATACTGTCTGTCAATTTTGTTTACTCTAGGAACTCTCTCTTCTGTTGAATTTCTGAAATGACATCTTTTGTTTGATTTCTATTTACCTTCTTGTTAAGAGTTTTTTTTTCTTTCTTTCAAGCATAAACCACAGCAGACACAAAACAAAGCAAACAACAGAAACAAAACGCACAAAACACAAACAGTTATTATTTGGCTGAAAAATGTTTTCCATAATCTCCATTTCTAGCTCTCCTGAACATTTTCTCTTAAATTTCTTAGTATTTCCCTTTTTGCATTTGCATCTTTTTTTCCTCTCTTGTAGTTTTCTGTCTTTAACAAGCATTAAGCTAATTGCTATAATGAGTGCATTCAATTTTATCTTCAACTGTTTATTTGCTGGACTTCTGATGTTGCACTGTGGAATCAGCACTGGACCACAAACCACAAGTTTGACAGTTCAAACCTATCAGCTTCCCCCCCCCTTGAAAAAAATCATTTTTATATTTTAGCTATGACGTCCTTGGAATCATAGTAGGTAGGACTTGATGCTAAATTGACGTCACACTCTGCTAGTCATCCAAAGAAAAAGACAGCCTTCTTTTTCAATTTTTTTTTATCTACTGGTGTATCACTAGATCCAGCAGGCAGCTTGCCCAGACAATTTCAGTAACAGATTTTGGCTTTCTGCTCATAATAGATGAAAATCCTTATGAAGTATGCAGTTTGTCTTATAGCTGAGAGATTTGAACCTGCTACAGGTGTCACATCTAAATTCTTGAACAGATTATTGTCATCAGCGTCATCTCCTTGTATCACTTCTTGTCTCTCTCTCCTGGCCACCAGCGTGGTGCAGCAGGCAAAGCGCTGACGCTGCGCCACTGTCCTCTGGCCGCCGCTGCTACTGCCTCTCCAGATCCTATATTTTCTAATTTAAAAACGATTATGGTCCCTACTATAGATAAGTCGGAGTCCTGGTGTGGCGCTATGGGTTAATGTGCCAGACTGAAAAGCTGTTTGAACTGCAAGGTCAGCGGTTCAATCTCACCAGCTGCTCCTCGGAAACCCTACACAGGGTGACTATGAGTCAGAATCGACTCAACGGCACTTAACAACAACAACAGTGCATATGGAATAGATTAGAATAGAAAGAAACTTTGCACTCGAGTTACTAAAATCATTGTGGAATCCTCTCTTTCTGGATCAGGTTTGACTTTGGCATTTCTGACTCCCAGGCATGATAATTTTCCATGTGCAATGAATCTCCTTTTATCTGCTTTCAAACAATTTCTGTTTTGATTTTTCTGCTTCCTGGAAGATCTTTGGGGCTTTGGCTATGAGAAAGGGAGAAAGAATTCATCTTTAGAAGAGTTAAAAAAAAAAAACAAAAAAACCCAACCCATTTGTTTTTATGATGGACTCCTGGTACGGCGCTGTGGGTTAATGTGCTGGACTGCAAAGTTAGTTTGAACTGCAAGGTTGGCAGTTCAATCTCACCAGCTGTTCCTCAGAAACCCTATACAGGTTCTCTGTGGGTTGGGATCGACTTGATGGTGCTTAACAACAATAACAACAATAAATATGAGGAGTCATGGTGTGGCAGTGGAGGGTAAGCACTGGACTGTTAGCCACAAGGTCAGCAGTTCAAACCTACCAGCTCCTTCTAGGATACCCTATACAGGGTCTCTATGAGTCAGAACTGAGTTGATTGGCACTTAACAACAACAACAATAAATATGAAACCCATAGAAGAATTGATGCATTTGAGTTATAGTGTTATAGAAGAATGTTGAAGATACAACAGACTGCCAGAAGAACAAACAAATCTGTGTTGGAAGAAGCACAGTCAGAATGATCCTTGGAAGCCAGGACGGCTTGTCTCTCATACTTGTTGTCTCTCATACTTCAGACATATTATCAGGAGAGACCAGTCCCTGGAAAAGGACATCATGCTTGATATAGTGGAAGGTCAGCCAAAAAAAGGAAGGGCCACAATGAGATGGATTGATACAGTGGCAGCAGTGATTGGCTCAAGCCGAACAACTGTGAGGATGGTGCAGTACTGGGCAGTGTTTTGTTCAGTTGTCCATAGATAGGGTTGCTGTGAGTCGGAGCTGACTCATGCCCTCTAACCATAACAACAAAAATAAAGAGATGCCACACTGTAGATGAGCACTGATTGCTAACCTCAGGGTCAGCAGTTCAAACCACCAACCACTTCTTGGAAACCCTACACAAGCTTACAGTGAGTCAGAACTGATTTGACAGTACTTAACTGTGGCACTGTGGGTTAATGCGCTCGATTGCAAAGCCGTTTGAACTGCAAGGTCAGTGGTTCAAGCTCACCAGCTGCTCCTTGGAAGCCCTATACAGGGTCGCTATAGGTCGGAATTGACTCGCTGACACTTAACAACAACAACAACAGTAAAGAGGTGAGAAATACAAACTTTATAATTATAAGAGTTAAGTTAAAGGAAGACTAAGGCAGATGGTTGCTGTTCAGTGCCATTGAATTAGTTCTGACTCATAGTGACCCTGTGTAGGGTTCCTGAGGCATGGCTGGTGGGTTTGAACCACTGACCTTGAGGTTCAAACTAACCTTACAGTTCAGAGCTTATCCTATAGTGCCACACCAGGACACCAAGCAGATGGTATTCATTTCTGAAAGACAAGACAATTGTTCTTTATTGTTAGGGAAGGTAGAAAAGCATGTATTTGCTTATATTTCATGTAGCCTAAATTATTTTTCAGAGTTTCTTCAGACAACTGGAAATAATGACTGGAGTTAAAAAATAAGTAGTTATTTAAGCATGATTAGAGAAAACATTTTAGTCATTTCCTCATTCATAAAATGATCATGTTGAAGTTTTGGTTGAAGAAGTCACATTAGTAACTATGCACAAAAATACTTTAAAAATAACACTTCTAAGAAGAAAACAAACAGATAATGCTCCATGACGACTTGCCAGGATTTAATATGATACAGTTTGACTAGGTATAGCCCTAAGTAAGAGGAAGGAAACTTGGAATAGAGTAAAAGCAATAAATATATAGTCATAAAGAATCAAAGTAGTGATTCAGACAAGAAAAAACTAAGAAACAAAAGTAAGCCAAAAACCATGGCACACGAGTCAAACTAACAGGACTAGGTCACACCCAGGAAATGTGGTTATTATAGCCACCATTTTTAAGAACCAGTGGGTACCCTATTGTTGTTGTTGTTAAGTGCCATCGATTCGGTACCTACTCATAGCAACCCTATGCACAGCAGAATGAAACACTGCCCGATCCTGGGCCAACCTCACTACTGTTGCCACGCTTGAGTCCATCAATGCTGCTACTTGGCCAATCCGTCTCATTAGGGGTTTTCCTCTTTTTCTCTGACCCTCCACCTTACCAAACATGACATCCTTTTCCAGTGACTGGTCCTTCCTGACAATTATATCTGAAGTATGAGAGATGAAGTTTGGCCATCTTGGCCTCAGAGGAGCACTCTGGCTGTACTTCTTCCAACACAGATGTGTTGGTTCTTTTGGCAACTCATGACACTTTCAATATTCTCCCCCAACACCATAACTCAAATCCATCAATTCTTCTACAGTCTTCCTTATTTGCTGTCCAGTTTTCACATGCATATGAGATTATTGAAAATACCATGGCTTGAGTCAGGCACACCTCAGTCTTCAAGCTGATATTTTTGCTCTTCAACACTTTAAAAAGGTCTTGTGCAGCAGATTTGCCTAATGCAATACGTTTTTTAATTTCTTGACTGCTGCTTCCATGAGTGTTGATAGTTGATCCAAGAAGAATGAAGTCCTTGACAACTTCAATCTTTTCTTCCTTGATAAGAATGTTGTTCATTGGTTCATTGGTGAGGATTTTTATTTTCTTGACATTGAGATGTAATCCATACCAAAGGCTGTGCTCTTTGATCTTCATCAGTAAATGTGTTAAGTCTTCTTAACTTTCAGCAAGCAAGGTTGTATCATCTACATATCACAGGATGTTAATGAGTCTTCTTCCAATCTTGATGCCACATTTTTCTTCATAGAACCCAGCTTTTCAGATTATTTGCTCAGCATACAGGTTGAATAAACATGGTGAACCTTAAGACCTATTTTCTTGCGGTCCTCTTTGCTATCATTAAAAAAACACAACACTTTTTTTTTTTTTTTTTTTTAAGAAATGTAGGCTAACCTGGGGCATAATATGACACCAGCTTCAAGAAACAAAATGACTTGTTCTATTAAAACACTGGAAATTCCTCTTCATTGCAGATAAGATAACACTGGACATGGCCTCAGAGATTCACATGCCCGACCCAGTGTGCCTCATTGAGAACATTAATGAGGAACTGACGGCTAATCCCGAAGCCTTGAAGATCCTGTCTGCCATTAAGCAGCCTCTTGTGGTGGTGGCTATTGTCGGTCTCTACCGAACAGGCAAATCCTATTTGATGAATAAGCTAGCTGGGAAGACACAGGGTAAGTGACACCAGCAAAGCTCTGTGAAATCGCCTCTCTTCACTCACACTATATTCTGTCCAGTATGATGATTTCAGAAGGTAACGTTAAGACAAAGGAATAGATGTTGAAAGCTAATGTCTGAGATCCAATCCGGGAGTTAAATGCTGCTCTCAAGTTTTGACATGCTTTCCCCCCCCCCCCCCATGCTTTGCTATTTCTGTGGGAAAAGTATATTTACAAACAGTATAAATGTTGTTAGTAACATGATAGTTTTGTAAACATAATAAAATTTCAAACTACTGGTATTTGCTATCGCCATAAGCCCACTTCTCTAGTTGTAAGGTCAGCAGTTTTAATCTACCAGTTTCACTATGGGAGAAGGATGAGGCTGTCTGCTCCTATACAGATTTACAGTCTCAGAAACCCTATACAGGGTCACTATGAGTCAGAACCAACTACACAGCACATAGCCACCACCAATGGTTGTATTTGCTATTTTCTCATCCCTCTCTCCTTAAATCCTAGTTCAGTTATCAAGTTGCTAGTTTTCAGAGTCTGCATGCTCTTATGATCTCCAGTTATACCCATTCCCTTCTGTAGGGTTCTCTGTTGGATCCACAGTGCAATCTCACACCAAGGGAATCTGGATGTGGTGTGTGCCTCACCCCAAGGAGCCAAACCAGACCCTAGTTCTGCTTGACACCGAAGGCCTGGGTGACGTAGAGAAGGTAAGAGAAGGAAGGAGGATTTGTTTTGATCAATTTCCTCATCTCTGAACATTCTTTAACAGGTAGTGTTTTTAATCTAAATTTGTACTTCTATTGGATTTAGGGTATGCCCTTTCTTTTTTCCTATTTTAAATAGTCAAAGTTTGGAATCCTGATTGAGGAAAAAAAGTATTTATAAGTCAAAGTTATGACTAGAGTGATACCAAACAGGCTGTTAATTCAGATGTTTAAGGATGATATCCTCCTTCACCCCACCAGAAAAATAATTATTGTCAAACATCTGTTCCTGCAGAGAATAATGGGTATAGCCTTGGACTCTGGGTCAGTTGAATTTGTGTCCAAATCAGGGCCCTGACACTTGTAGATTTCTGAATTTTACAGATAATAGAAGCAAAATTCCAATGTGCCTTTGTCTATATAGTGTTCAATACTCCCAAATCATTTGTTTTCTCTTGGTTTTATCCAACTCTTAATTTTGTTAGGAGATACATGGGGTATTTTCAGTAGTGTGTTGATAAATGTCACTGGGAGAAAAAAGGCCTTGAATTATAAGCACTAGTAAATTTTCTAAATCGACACGTGCCTTCATGGCAAATTTCAGTTTGGGAAGAGATATACACAATCTGCTTTCCTGAATTAGTATGAACTAAATAATCTTTCCATTGGATTTCCTTTTTTTCTTTCATTTTGATTTTGATTTAACAGCATTCAGGGGTGGTTAGTCTCAATATGAGTCTAGTTTCCTCATCTGTAAAGCTTACCTCACAATTTTGTTTTGAATATTAAATAAGACCATTAATGTGAACTGCCTGGTGCAAAATAGATACTCAATAAAGTAGACAAATATGAGGTTGCCATGAATTGAAATAGAATCAATGACAATCACCACCACCACTACCATCATCTTATAGGCCAAATATGCTTTATATAATTAAAAAAAAAGACATTAATTTCCAACAACTTTGGTTATACCACTAATCAGACTGCTCATTTTACAAATATCTAACAATAGTTATAAGAGGGACTGATGAGTGAACCATATATTGCTCTGTATAAAATCATCTATGGTATTGGTAGAACTCTTCTAAGTTCATATGTGTCTGACAATCACTTGTTTTAAACTTTTTACTGTGAATTAAGTGAAGGCTTACAAGATCATCAGTTTTGCATTCAACAAATCATAAAACTTTGTTTTAACTCAATGAGTGCAATTCGCTGCATGCAACAGCAGTTATCCCACTTCCTCCCTTGTTGTTGTTGTTAAATGCTGTCGAGTTGGTTCAAACCCATAGCAACTGTACAGGGTTTGTGAGGAGAGGCTACTGAGCTTGATCCACCAACCTTGTGGTTCTTACAGACTTTGTACTCCAGCACATTAACCCACCATGACACACAGGACACTATGTCCTCCATGTAGTAGCTCCTATTTCTATTCCACCTACCTTCTCATCCCTTCTTAGCTTTGTCCTGAGGTAAATGTTGCCCTTACAATGTTTAAAGATTAACCATTCCATGGTGAACATACCTTATTAACACTGTTGTCCCCGCTATATACCTATCTACTGGTTGCCTGAAAATTGGGCCATGAGTGTGAGTTCCATTCCAGACCTTAAGGATGCTTGAGAGCTTTAGGCTTGTATTCCTCCAGTCTCTTTCTGACCAGTAATCCCAGTCTTTCTTTCATTTTATTTTATAATTTTAAATTTTGTTCTACATTTTCTGATACTCTACTTGGGAATTTCTAACATGATCCCTTTCAGAGTAGTTGGTAGTGGTAGCTGGGCACTATCTAGTTCTGGTCTCAGAGTCATGGAGACTGATGTTCACATATTCCAGTAGTCCATCGGACTAATTGACTCCACACATCTTCAATTCTCATCACTCTTCATTCTTCCACACATGGAGAGACCAATAATTAAACTGTAGATGGCTGCTCATGAGCTTTTAAGATCACAGACACTACTAACGAAAGTAGGATGTAGAACAGTCTTTGTGGACTATGTTATGCCAATTGACCCTGGTGTTACCTGAGAGTATTATCCTGATCCTTCACGCCCAGGAACTCATTGCCTGAAGATGTTTAATAATATCTAAGACGTTTTCATCATTTTGCTCACTGTTTGCTCCACCACATTCGTAGTTGTGCTTATAGCAAAGGTTAAAATATCCTCTAGCAAATCCTTATATATTTGTGGGTATATTCCCACTCTTCCTCCCATATCCATTCAGCTTGTATATCAGTCCATATATCTACTCACAGAACACTGTTGTTCCAAAGTTGTGTATATAACACTATTTACCTCAACCCCCTTTAGCCCTTCTATACCTCCTGTGTCTTCATCTATCTTCATCATTCTTCTGCCAATCTCCCTCTGCTTGTATATTGCCTCGCTGTCACTTGAGTTAACATGTGTCTGCCTTATAGCCAGTGAATTATTCTCCCTTCCCTTCCAACCCTAGTAACCATCAAAGAATGCTTCTTTTAGCATGAAAACTTCCTCTTGAACTTTTACAATAGTGATCTCATGCAATATTGGTCCTTTTGTGATTACTAATTTCATTCAATATAATGTCCTCTTGGTTCATTCATGTTAAAAGGTATTCCCTAAATCCATCATTATTCTTCACTGTTTCATAATATTTCATTGTATGTGTATATCAAAGTTTGTTTATCCATTCTTCCATTGATGGACATTTAGGCTATCTTCATCTTTTTGAGATTGTGAATAGTGCTATGAAGAACATCAATACATATATCTACTTGTGCTCTTGGTTTTATTTCTTGTTGATATCATACCAAGTTAAAGGATTGCTGGGTCATGCAGTATTTCTATTTCCAACTTTCTAGGAAGTGCCATATCATTTTACAGCCCATCAGCAATGTAGAAGGGTCCCAGTCTCTCTACACCCTTGCCAGCATTTCTTATTTTCTGCTTTTTGAAGTTTGCTATTAATGTTGGGGTGAAATGATATCTTGTTGTTTTAATTTGCATCTCTCTAATATGGCACTGTTGAGTCCTGGTGTGATGCTGTGGTTTAATGTGCTGGACTGCAAAGTCTTTGGAATTTTTATGTATAGGACCATTTCATCTGAAAATATAGTGAATTTCACTTCATTTTTTTTTTATGCCTTTAATTTCCTTTTCTTGCCTTATAACTTTGGTTAAGACTTCCAACACAATAATGAATAAGAATGGTTATGAAGGACATCCTTGTTTGGCTCTTGTTCACAAAGAGAATGCTTTCCCTTTTGCTTCATTGAGAATAATGTTGACTTTTTGATATGTATAAATGCTTTTAATTATGCTGTGGAATTTTTCTTGTGTTCTTACTTTTTTGTGCGTTTTGATCAGGAATGTATGTTGGGTTTTATTAAATGTCTTTTCTGCATCAATCAATAGGAGCCAGTGGTTCTTTTCCTTTGTTTTATTTATGTGATGGATTACAATGATTGTTTTTCAAGTATTGAACCATGCTTGCAACCCTGGTATGAATCCTATTTGGTCACGATGTATTATTTTTTAAATATGTTTTTAAATTCTAATGTCTAGGATTTTGTTGAGGATTTTTGCATCTATATATATGAAGGATGTTGTTGTTGTTGTTAGGTGCCATCAAGTTGGTACCTACTCATAGTGACCCTATGCACAACAGAATGAAACACTGCCCGATCCTGGGCAAACCTCACAATTGTTGCCACTCTTGAATCCATTGATGCTGTCACTTTGCCAATCCATCTCGCTGGGGGTCTTCCTTCCTTTCTCTGGCCCTCCACCTTACCAAACATGATATCCTTCTCTAATGACCAGTCCCTCCTGACAGCATCTCCAAAGTATAAGAGACAAAGTTTAGCCATCCCGGCCTCCAAAGAGCACTCTGGCTGCACTTCTTCCAACACAGATCTGTTGGTTCTTTGGCAGCCTGTGGCACTTTCAATATTCTCCTCCAACACCATAATTCAAAAGCATCAATTCTTCTCCAGTCTTCCTTATTCACTGTCCAGGTTTTGCATGCATATGAGGTTATTGAAAATACCATGGTTTGGGTCAGGTGCACCTTAGTCCTCAAGGATATTGGCCTATAATTTTCTTTTTTAGTGATGTCTTTAGCTGGTTATCTTATGTGAGTTATGCTTGATTCATGGAATCTTTTAGGGCACATTCTATCCTTTTCTATGCTCTGGAATAATTTGAGTAGAATTGGTGTCAACTTTTCTCTGAACGTTTGGTAGAAGTCAATAGTAAAGTTAAAAGACCCTGGATTTTTTTTTTTTTTTTGCTTTGGGTTTTTTAATGATCTGATCAATTTCTTCTTTTGTTATAGATCTGTTTTCTACTTAATTCAAGTTTTCTACTTAATTCTGTGTTAGTTTAGGTCGATTGTGCTTTTCTAAAAATGTATCTACTTCTAGATTTTCAAGTTTGTTGGAGTACTATTCTTCATAGTATTCTGTTATCCTTTTTATTTCCTTTTGTTCTGTTGGCAGCACTTATAGATGTTATGTGAATATTTTCCTTCTTTTCTTAAATTTGCTAATGTTGTCTCAATTTTATTAATTCTTTCAAAGAACCAACTTTTTATCTTGCTGCTTCTTTCTTTCTTTCTTTTTTTGTTTTCCTGTTTTCTGATTATTTTCTGCTCTAATTTTTATTATTTATTTCCCCTTTGTGGCAGTAGGTTTACTTTTCTTCTCTATCTCTAACTGTTGACAATGTTGCATTTATGTGCTGAATTTGGTTCTTCTTTTTCTATGCGTGAGTTTATTGCTATAAATTGCCCACTTCGTTGTTTTGTAAGTGCTGTTGAGTTGGTTCTGACTCATAGCAACCCTGTTTAGGATTTATGAGACTTTAAATCTTTTCAGGAGCAGAAACCTCATCCTTTTCCCATGGAATGGCTGACAGGCTTGAATGGTGGACCTTGCATACAGTGCTTATTGTATGGAGTCACAGTACTCCCCAAATTACCCTCTAAGTCCTGCTTTTGTTGTGTCCCAAAGG